TTTTTTTTTTTTTTTTTTGGTACCAGGGATCAATCTCAGGACCTTGTGCTTGTCAGGCAGGTGCTTATTGCCCCTGAGCTATCTCCCTAGGCCGCTGGCTTCATAATTATTCAAATCTGTAAAAGAAGTGTTTTAAAATCAGCAAAACATACCAGACCTGGTGGTACATGCTTATAATTCCAATATCCTGGGAGGATGAGGCAGAGGGATTGAAAGTCAGAGGCAATTTAGTAAGACACTGAAAATTTTAAAAAGGGGTAGAGGGTTGTGTTTCCTAACAGAAATGACAAGAAAGTAGAAGGGAGGGCCAGTGAGATAGTTCAGCAGACTAAGCACCTGCTTAGGCAAGCTTAGGGACCAGGGTCCCATCCCCGGCACCACATGCCTTGCCAGTTCCGCCACGGAGCACGCAGAGCTGCTACTGAGAGCCAGTGCAGTGGTGTATGCCTGTAATCCCAGTGCTAGGGAGGCTGAGAGGAGGATCACTACGAGTCCGACCTGTATGGTGTGATCCTGTACCAAATACATTATTAAAAATAAAAAGCCAATTAAACAAGAGAAAGGGAGGGGATGTGGGGCATGATGGAGAGTGATGGGAACAATATATGCATGTTTGACAATACTACATTGGGCTTCAGTATTTTATAAAATTAAGAGGCTTTTCTTTTAAAAAATAAATAAATAAATAAATTGGTGGGGGCCCGGGAAATGGCTTAATGGAATAAACACGTCCCTGGAAAGTGCCAGGGCCTGAGTTCAATCCTTGGTTCTGTCAAAAAAAAGAAGAAATTTGCTTGTGGGCTGGAGAGAGAGCTCAGTAGAACAAGTGCCTGCCTGGTAAGCACAGGGTCCTGAATTCAATCCCCGGTACAAAAAAAAAAAAAAAAAAATAGGGCTGGGGAGATGGCTTAGTAGAATAAGCACTTCCCTGGCAAGTACAAGGGCCTGAGTTCAATCCCCGGTTCCACTGAAAAAATAAAATAAATAAATTGCTTAGGAATTGACTTACCCAAGGAGATGAAAGATTTGCATAGGGAAAACTACAAAACATCTGAGAGAAATTTTTAAGACATTGGATTTGAATGCAAAGTGGGTGGAGCTAAAGATGCTCAATTGTGATGCCCTGGGTTCAATCCCCAAGACTGCAAAACAAAATGAAGTATCTTATCTGCCATTTCACTCTTAAATATGCTGTTTCCTTTTGGTGTTTAAGTGACTTCTTTTAGTTCTATTTCTACATCACTTTTAGTTGAAACTTAGGAACCAGTCAACCTCTTCTACTTTGTACCTTCCTTGTCCACACTTTCTGAAGTTTCTCCAGTTTATCTCTTAGTTCAAGCTCATCCTATAGTAGAATCCTCAGAAAAACAGTAGTGTGTGTGTGTGTGTGTGTGTGTGTGTGTGTGTGTGTGTTTCCTTTGGAACTGGGGATTGAGCTCAGGCCCTTGCGCTTGCCAGGGAAGCGCTTATTCCACTGAGCCATCTCCCTGGCCCAACAGTAGTGTTTTGACACTTCATGTTTGAGACTTGTTTTTTTTAAGTGTTTTGAGACAGGGTGTCACCATGTAGCCCAAGGCTGCCTTGAACCAGTGGTGATACTGGTGCCTCAGCCTTGGAAATGCTGGATTCCAGGTGTGCACCACCATACCTGGTGAGCCTTTTACTTCGAAACAGTCTTGGTATAGAAATTCTTGGCTTACATTTTCTTTTTGTTGCTATATGGTATTGAATTTAGTGTAACTTGATTTTTCCTCTTTTTTTTTTTTTTAATTTTTATTTATTTATTTATTTATGTGAGTGTGTGTGGCTAGCTCAGCCCACCAGGGGGCAGGGCTGGCTGGCATGTGGTGCTGGGGGATTGAACCATGGTCCCTGTGATTTGCTAAGCTTGTTCTAAGTAGGTGCTTTAGACCACTGAGCCATCTCACCAGCTCCTTGGTTTTTCCTCTTAAGTAAATCCAAATTTTACTTGGATAAGCCTCATATTGACAACTGGGTAAAATTTCTCATACACAGTAGTATGTCTTTCACATCATGTTTTATTTCAGGTTTATTGAGTTATAGATTTTTTTAAAAAAGATTCCCAAGACTAAGGGATCTAGTCAAGATTGTGTTATATTGCTTGTTATTTTCATATCATTCTGGAATAGTTCCTTTGTTTCACTTTTTCATGACTTGACTCTTCTAAAGAATACAGGCCCAGAAGCAGGGTTTGCAGGTGTACACCTGTAATCCCAACACTAACACTTGGGAGGCTGAGGATTTGCAAGAGTTTGAAGCCCTCCAGGGTTACGTAGAGCTTGTCTCAAGAAGCAAAAAACATTTTAAAATTAGAGAATGCAGACTGGTTATTTTGTAGGATGTCCTTCATTTTAGTTTTGTGTGAGTTTTACTGTGATTAGATTTGGGTTACACAAGGATATTACAGAAAGCTGTTGATTCCATGGCATCCTCTCGGGGCATAGGATTTAAATTTGTTCCAGTACTAGTGTAGTCACTTGGGAATATTAAGTTAAGGTGCTGTCAGTCTGATGCTACCCTAACATTGCTGCTTTTCTTTTTGTTATTCAGTATTTTGTGGAGGGGCCGGGGAGATGGCTCAGTAGAATAAGTGCTTGCCTGGCAAGTGCAAGGGGCCTGAGTTCAATCCCCGGTTCTGGGGAAAAAAAAAAAAAGTATTTTGTGGAGATGTATGTAAATACCTCATTCCTCTTCAGACTTCTACTCATTTGTATGCTTAAATCAGTATGAGTTCATAGGGGTTGGGGAGATGGCTCAGTAGAATAAGTGCTTGCCTGGCAAGTGCAAGGGGCCTGAGTTCAATCCCCGGTTCTGGGGAAAAAAAAAAAAAGTATTTTGTGGAGATGTATGTAAATACCTCATTCCTCTTCAGACTTCTACTCATTTGTATGCTTAAATCAGTATGAGTTCATAGGGGTTGGGGAGATGGCTCAGTAGAATAATCAAAGTTCAGAGTTCAATCAAAAAAAAAGTTCAATCAAAAAAAAGTATGAGTTCATAAAATCCTATTTATTTTGTAGGTTGTAAACCTCAGATGTGGCTCATTTGAGGCCTGTAGCTAACCCTTGTATCCTTCGACAGGTCTTCATTATTCTTTCAATGTTTTATTATCTGGTTCAATAAGGTATTCCAGGCTCATCTCGTACTTACCCTGGAATTATCAGCATCTTTCAGAATCCCTGGTTCCTTTTAGAGTAGAATGATATTTGGAAGCCAAGATCTGGGTAATAATCATGCTGACTGCTCCTAGCGAGCCATTGCTCCCAGCCTGTCTATGGACAGGGCTAAAAAATACTGCCCTAATCCAACACCACAAAGTTGACTTTAACCATGAGCCTTCCCATTTTTGTGACTCATACACTCAAGATCCAAGACATCCACTCACTTGCCCACTGCAGCCTCCTAACTGCTGGCTGCTGAGCACTGCTTTTCAGTAGGAGGGAGGTGACCGAGAAGCAGAGCAGTATCATTTCTTCCTTCTGAAGTGTGTGTTGGGTGTCCATACCTCAAATACTCCATATGTATATTCATTAAATTTCACTCTGAATATATGTTAACTTTTGAAGTATAAAGAAACATTAATTTGTCACGTTATGAATGTGAGAAATGATGTAACCCTCTTAAGAGCCAGTAGCACTGTGGAAGTCCTACACCTCAAGTGGGCGCCCCCAGGACCAGAGAGTGGGGAGAGCACCCAGAGTCGCCATGTGAGGAAGGGGTGGAAGATTGCTGTGGAAATGCCAAAGCAGAGCACTCTGAATAAAACAAATTATTTCCATTTTTGATCAGAACTTTGAAAAAGCAGATTTCTACTAAAGTTACCACTTAAACTTATGAAAAAATTAAAATCTTACACTTTCGTCAAAGCTTTCTCTTCTGGTTGGTTGAACAAAATGTCCATTGCTCTTGCTACTGAAATATAAAAGTAAGGAATAGGAAAGTAAAAAGGGGGAATTGCCTCCGTTAAATGCAATCTGATCTCTATTGGATCTGAATTGTGTTTCTGTTCTTTCTAAAATGCTATTTATTTGGAAAATTTCATTAATGGGTTCAAAGTAACACATTTTTAGCTCTTTTAAAAAATACATTTTTACCTGGGTGTGGTGGTGCATACCTGTAATCACCTGAGTTTGAGGCCAGCCTGGGCTATCTAGTGAGTTCAAGGATAGCATGAACTGAAGATACACAAACAGCAAATAAACACATGAAAAAAATGTTGAACATCACTGCTCTTTTGAGAAATGCAAATTAAAACAGCACAGATTCCATCTCACCCTGGAAAGAATGGCTATCATCAAGAAATCAAATGTAGGGGGGCAGGGGAGATAGTTCAGTGGAATAAGCGGTTGCCTGGTAAGTGCAAGGGCCTGAGTTCAATCCCCGATTCTGGGGGAAAAAAAAAATGTTGAAGGGGCTGTGAGGAAAAAAGGAACTTTCTCCACTGCTGGTGGGAATGTAGACTCATACAACCACTGTGGAAATCAGTGTGGAGATTCCTCAAAAACCTAGGCTTGGTGCTCCCATTTGACCCAGCATTTCCCCTGCTGAGTATCTTTCCAAAAAAATTAAAAACACCAGACAACAGTGATACTTGTGTACCCAAGTTTATAGCAGCACAATTGGAAACAGCCCAAATGTCGAAAGAATGGATAAAAGATGCGGTCTTTTTATATAATACAGCCATAAGGAAACATGAACTAGATAGAGTCTTATAGGTAAATGGATGCAACTCAAGACCATGTAAGTAAAATAAATCAGATGCACATGTGTAAACATATTTTCTCCCTACTGTGAGAATCTGAAAAGAGTAAATATCCAAAATGTACAATGGGGGCTGGAGAGATGGCTCAGTGGTCTAAAGCACCTACTTAGAACAAGCTAAGGGGCTGGAGAGATGGCTCAGTGGTCTGGAGCACCTACTTGGAACAAACTTGGCAAGGCATCAGGGACCGCGGTTCAATCCCCCAGCACCACATGCCAGCCAGCCCCGCCCCCTGGTGGGCTGAGCTGGCCACACACACACACACACCCCTCTCTCTCTCTCTCTCTCTCTCTCTCTCTCTCTCTCTCTAATAAATAAAAATAAAAAAAATTTTAAAAAAAATGTACAATGGTTTAAAAAGAAAGCGAGAACTTGAGGATTGGACAATGAGGAGTGGGCAAGGAGAAAAGCTGGGAAACATGACAGGGGCAAAGCCACACATTTATACGCACAAGATGGGTAAGCCAGTGATCCTGAGAAACATCAGCAAGTTTTTGAAACTAACAGTTAACTGGTAGGATTCTCACCCTGATTATATATGCTGATTCCTATGAACCAAGCAGCTGCACTGAAGATAGCAATATGTAATAGAAGGATCACACTTGGAATGCCTGTCATTCTGGTCTTCTAAATACGTACTTCTTGTCATGACATACCAATTATTGCCATACTGTCTCTCAAGTAAAAGGGTTTTTTTCTTTTAAAAAAGGGTAATGAAAAAAAAGACACAAGAAAAAGAAAAAAATGTCACAAGTCTATCCTGTTACAATTCTGTATATAGTTAGATTTCTAAATTTCTTTGTAAAAATATGTAAATGCTTATTTATAGTTTTTAAAAATTATTTTTCCTTCATATTCTGTAAGGACTTTAAAGTTCAACATATCAATACTTGATGGAAAATACCTGTTCCATGATATGCCTAAGATGTTTGATATTTAGACAGATAGGGTAAACTGAACTGCATATATTGCAGGTTAATAATAAGCTGCTCTTCTGGAGGGTTAACAACCTAAGTTAGCAGATCAAAATTGGAGAAAAGGAAGGGCTACAAGGTCAGCCAACATTCTGACCCTAGTCTTTCAAGGTCAGTGAAGACTCGGGACGTAGGAGAACCTATACTGTAACAACATGTAACTCAGTTGTGCTCCAAATTTTCTGATCAAGAAGATTATGGAGCCACAGAGGAATGTGATTGATGATGTATAGTGTGCCTGGGGAGAGTCACCTGGAGAGAAAAAACATTCTCTCAGGCTTTCACAGAGAGCAAATTGGTCAAGCAATGGCCGTGACTCATCCACATGGCTGACACTGACAAAGGATCTACAAAGTGCGGTACAGGGCTACAGGATAAATCCTGAGGGTACTTGACTGACCTTATCAGATACAAAAGTTACATTTCTTGGTATATAGGTCTTGCTTTATCTTGGTCTTAACCATCCAGCAGAAAAGTAGAAAAATGAGGTATATAAAGTAAAGCTATATTAATACGATGAGCTGTAAAAGGCTCAAGTCAACTGACGATAACCCACTACTATTATAGACTGCTGGACAGTGTTGGATTGTTTTGCTGAATTTAAGCACCTATAGTATTTAGATGCCAATATAATACTCACCTCTGACAGGACTTAAAAAAAAAGGGGGTACAAAGGAAAGAACATTTTGTATTTGTATATATAAAATAGGATAGATATACAGCTTTTACTTAATTCAATGAGAAGAAAGATGTGTACTAGTAGTGTTTGGACAGGATATCCTGTCTGCTTCTTGTACTATGGACAGCCACTAAGAAGATAACAATGTACAATGTATTGATTATGGAGACTATCCTATTAATCAGTTTTGAAATTCTCATTCATATTTGTTTCTCAATAAAATTTTTAAAAAATGTACAATGGGAATAAACTTCAAAAGGAAAAAGAAATTGGGGGACTGGGGAGATAGCTCAGTAGAATAAGTGCTTGCCTGGCAAGTACAGGGTCCTGAGTTCAGTCCTAGGTACGGGGGGTGGGGGGGGTGGAGGGGAGGATAGGGAAAGAAAAGGAAGGGAAAAGTAAAAATAAATAAAAAATACATATATATGGATATACATGTACAGAGAGAGTTATACTACTAATTTTTCTTAGTTCATTGTAAAAGGTTTGTGCTAATATTGTTTGGACAATTAAATGCCTATGTCTTGTATTCTGAGTAATTTAAAGAAAACAATATGCAATGTATTAATCATTGTTGCCCTATTATCTTGTTTTGAAATTTTTTTCTCTTTAAAAAAATTACATTTTTACAAGAGGTTTAAATTTGACTAAGTATAATGTTAAGTACAAGTGTAAACATTAACTATTGTGTGTAAAACATTTTTATTTTGAGAGCTAAATAAATGCACTTGATGAAGACTAAAATTGTTTTCTACCTCCTTAGAGGGACTTTATTCTCCAACCTTCCTTTTAAATCTTTTTTTGAGTAGTGTGGCACACACCCTATCAGTGATTCTTTTCAGCAGTGGTAGGAATCAGATCTCTCGCCTCATGCATGCCAGCTTGCTGCTGTGCCACTGAGCCATATCCTGCCCTTACATTAATTTTAAGTTAGCTTAATTTCAGGGTATCCTCAGTATTAGATATAATGGCAGTGGATTCAGGATCACCACATTGCGTGGTGGCTGTTTTAAAACCACATACTTAACTCTTTATTGTCAGGTTCTCCTATAATGGTTCCTGACTTCACCATGGTTCAATTTTGTATTTTTTTTTAAATAGTCTTTTTATGTAATTCAGGCTGGCCTTGACCTCACTATATAGCCCAGACTGGCCTCAAACTTACTGCAATCCTCCTGCCTCAGCCTCTTGAGTGCTAGGGTTACAGGCAGGTACCTCTCTACATCCTGCTTTAACTTTAGATTTTTAAAAACTGTATCATGATGCAAAAATGATAGGCATACACTAGAAACCATACCTTAATTTTGAATTATTCTCCCCCGTAGTGGATTTCTAACAGGTGGCCATCCTATTGCACCCAGCTGAATTAAACTATCATGGTGCTGGGTGTGGGAGGCCCACCTGAGGGCTGTCAGCAGCATAACGGCAGAACAGGAGAAACTACCAGAATGCTGTTAGGGATGCTGTTTAGAGAAGCTGTTGGAAGCTGCTAGTTTTCTTAGGCTGTTCTGCTGGCAGACCTTGTCACGCTGGCTTTCCTGATGAGCTTTGGGGGAGCTTTGGTCCTCATCTTGAGCATCACTTCCTGGCTCCAGAGGGTAAGATCACGGTGCACTGCTCAACCTCATAGAGAAGCTTGCTTCATTGGCTTTCCTGTTGGGAACCTGGCTTTCCTCATCACTGGTGGAGCTTGGGACCTCACTGTTGCGGAGGATGCTGTGGTACTTTGGGGGGAGCTCTGGTGCTTACCTTGAGCATTGCTTCCTGGCTCCAGTTCAGATCCCTCAGCCTGCTAGCACAAATCCTTCATCTCACTAGCAAAGACTTCCCAGCTTCCACTACTGACCTTTGGGCCTTTCTGGCACAGATCCATGAAGTAGGATCCAAGCCCTCGGCTGGATTCTTTAGTACTCAGTGCGTGGATAGATTCCCTGACCTGTATATGATTCTTGGGTGAGTCCTTATAAACTAATATAAGATGTGTCCTGTATTGTAAAAACCTCAAACCATGACATGCCCTCAGCTAAGCACCTGTGGTATGATGCTCCGTGATGAGCAGCAGCACCCAGCCCTGTGATCACGAAGGGAAGCAACTGCCCTGGATGGGGTGTCTGTTGCCCAGGTTTTAGGGGCACAGGGGTTTCAAAAATTGGATGGAATGTTCAGTACTCTAAACTTTGTTAGATTATTTGTACCTAGCTGAGCCCAATTAAAGTAGATTAGGCTAGGGGGCTGGGGAGATGGCTCAGTAGATAAGCACTTCCCTGGCAAGTGCAAGGGTCTGAGTTCAGTCCCCAGTTCTGGAAAAAAAAAAAAAAAAAAAAAAGTAAAGTAGATTAGGCTAAACTGAGATGTTTGGTAAATTAGAGGTACAGAATGCATTCTTAAAATATTTTCAACACTACCTTCAACTCAGCACTATTTTTAATTTACAGTTAATTTTTTTTTTTTTTAAGTAAGCTTACAAGGGTTGGTCAGACAGCTCAGCGGACTAAAGTGCCTACTTAGGCAGACGCAGGGTTTCATCCCTGGCCTACCAGGCCCCAGGGTGCACTGGGACGACTGAGACTGAGTGTGGTGGTGCCTGTCTGTAATCCCAGTGCTAAAGAGGCTGAAAATAGGAGGACCATTACAGAGTGCAATCTGTGTAGTGAGACCCTGTACCCCTGTACTAAATAAAATTTAAAAAAAAAAAAAAAAAAAAAAGAAATCTTACATTTTCTTGTCTTCTTTCTGAGTTTTCTTCAGTTTGAGTTTCTCCAGAGCATTATGGTAAGTCTGGGGATAATTTAAAAAGTTTGACAATTTATCAAAAATATATTCTCTATTATTGTTTCATCAAGTTGAATGAAATATGTGTCCCTAGAGACCGCTATGCTGAAGAAATACTGAGGCAAAACGCCATGATTATCCTTTACCTTGCTACCACTTTGGTTTCTGCCTTAGAGAAAATGCTAGAAGAGTTCTGTGGGAGCATCACAGTCGAACTTAAAAAAAAAAAATCACTCAAAAGCACTAATATGTAGTGTTGTACTGTTTTAAGAATGTTAACTTTTTTTTTTTTTTTAAACTGGGGATTGAACTCAGGACGTTGTGATTGCCAGGCAGGTCTTATGATGCTCAGCTATCTCCTTGGCCCAAGAATGTTAACATTTTTAAGCCAATTGTAGTGCTGTTATAATCTCAGCACTCCAGGAGGATGAGGTAGAAGGATTTCATGTTTGCACCCAGCTTGGGCCATTTAGTGAGACCCTATCTCTAAATAAACAATAAAAAAGGGCTAAGGATGTAACAGTACAAAAGCCCTGGGTCCAAATCCAGGATTTCTCCTTCCCCCACAAAACACTGAGGGTTTGGGTAATGACACTGAGCAGAGTTTAAGCCTTGGGTCATGGTATAAGAGTACAGTGTTCAAAACACATAATCTAGGACAAACTGTACAATAAATAAAGGCAGAAAGAAAAGAAACATTATAGGTAAACAAGAGTTGATAAAGGGGCTAGGGATTTAGCTCAATGGCGCAGTGCCTGCCTGGAATGCATGAGGTCCTGAGTTCGATTCCCAGAAATCCCTCATCCCCCAAAGAAAAGAATAGTAAATAAACACAGATGGGACAGAGAGACCTGAGCAGATATTTGAAAGGTGCTTGTTTTTTGCTTTTTGTTTTTTCCCCACCCTCCCGGAATCAGGGATTGAACTCATGCCCTTGTGCTTGCCTGACAAGTGCTTATTCTACTGAGCCATCTCCCAGCCCTTTTGTCTTACAATTATAATTTGGAAGATAATTTTACTTACCATCTTAATCATTTTACCAAGTTCAAAATCTGGCCTCTTTCCTATTGCATAGTCAGCTTTCACTTCAGAATAAGTATCGTTAATTATTGCCAGGAACATGTTCTGGGGAGAAATATTCACATGTTTTAATTAAAATTTCATCTAGATGTTAGTGATTTTAAAGTTGGGAGCAGTGATACATGCCTAAGTGCCAGCTACCTGAGGGGCTGAGGTGGGATGATTACTTGAGCCCAGGAGTGCCAGATCAGCCTGGGGTGGCATAGAAAGATTCTTGTCTTAAAAATAAAATGACAAAAAGTTAATGGCTTTGAAAAGTACGGGGGTGGTGGGTAGGGAGATGGCTCAGTAAAATAAATGCTTCCCTGGCAAGCACAAGGGCCTGAGTTCAATCCCTGGTTCTGCCAAAATAAATAAACAAAAAGTACTGGGATTTGTAAGCTATGATTTATTTTATTTTATTTTTATTGGTTTGTGTGTGTGTGTGTGTGTGTGAAACCAAGGATTGAACTCAGGCCCTTGTGCTCACCAGGCAAGTGCTTATTCTCCTGAGCCATCTCCCCTGCTTATATGATTTAAATTTTTAAAATAACCCCTATGCTCAATAGTAGGTAAATGACCATGTGGATACAGTAGACAATAGAAAATGTAAAGTGTATCCAGATGGGTGAATATGTTTATGGTAAATGAGAAAAACAATGCACTATTATGTATACTAACTGGTGATTAATATTTTTACTCTTCTTATTACCTGAAACTCACAGTGATCCTCCTGCCTCAGCCTCCTGAGTGCTAGAATTATAAGCATGCATCACCACACCCAAGCTTTAATTTATCATTATTTTATGTCAGAAGAAAACAACAATTATAGGCTCATAAAGGTGTTTAAATTCTATGAATTTTTTCAATACAGGAAAGAAATAGATCGCATGAAGCAGAGTCGAAGAGATATAGAGGAAATTAAACTCTCAATCACAAGCTTGCAAAACCGCTTAAGTGAATGTGAAGACAGAGTTTCAGATCTTGAAAATGCTGGTGTAGCTAGTGAAAAGGTAAGAAAGGATCTCTTAAAAACAACGAGGATGCAGGAAAGAATAATTCATCACCTGCAA